AATCTTCTAAGTTTGTGGAAGTCAGCTTTCCTAAAATCAAGGATTTATACCCTGCTGACTGATTTCCCTGTCTTACAGTGGCTGGAGAAAGTAATTATCTCATAGTCATTGTCACCCAGTTTCCCGTCTATCCCCAGGTTGCTCACTAAATTATCCCCTTTGGCCAGAACCAAGTCTAGGAGTGCCTTACTCCTCGTCAGCCCATAGACTTCTTCAGTCAGACAGAGCTCTTCAGTGCAAGTGAGGAAGCTTTGTGAGCAATCAGATCTTTCTGCGTGCTCATCCCACAAGATGTCTGGGTTGCTGAAGTCACCCATAATGACCATGCTCCAAGTGCGTGCAGCCTCTGCCAGTTCTCTAGAGAATACCTGGTTGAGCTCTTCCTCTTGGTTTGGAGGTCTATAGTAAACTCCTACAGCAGGGGTTCTCAATCTTTGTGCTATCATGACCCTGAGTGCTGGATGGCGGTAATGGGGGACAGGGAGCTCACACACAGCAGCTGCTGCCACCATTTTCCACTCCACACTGCCACCACATGCCACTTTCCCGTGCCGCCGCGGTACCCCGAGAAGTTTGTGGCCCCCTTTTAAGTTGCTTGCAACCCCCCCAGGGGGTTGTGACCCACAGTTTGAGAACACGTGTCCTACAGTCAAATACCCCTCCCCATGCTCTCCCCGTATCTTGACCCAGAGGGTCTCAAGTCACCCTTCTTTGTTGCCAATCTCTGCTTCTAGGGATGTGTAATGTTCTTTCACATAGACAGCAACTCCTCCACCCTTCTTCCCAACATGATCCCTCCTATGCAGGGTGTAGCCCTCTATCCTTGTGGTCCAATCATAGGTGGAGTCCCACCAGGTCGCTTTAATCCCTATGAGTTCGTATTGCTTGTTGGTTAGCAGGAGGACCAGTTTCTCTTGCTTGTTCTTCATCCTTCTGGCATTTGTGTACAGGCAACTAAGCCTGCCATTGGAAGCCCTAGGATTCTTGGTGTGCTGTGGAAAAACCTGTCCTTCAACTGGTGTCAGAATATGCTTCCTATTGTTCCCTGGTATGCTGGTTTCATGGTTGCCATTTCTTGGGCTTGTACTAGTAGTTGTTGACCTTTCCCCTGGCTCTTGGCTCCTCACACCACTCCTTTCACCTCAGTATTTTAATTAGTTTCCTGCCCACCCCAATATAAATGTATCTGTAAACTCTAGTTAAAATATTGATCGGCAGTGCAGATGTCAGAACAAAGAACAATGGCCTCAAGTTGCAACAGGGAAAGTTTAGGTTAGGGTGTAGGAAAAAAAAAACTCTCTTACTAGGAGGCTTGTAAAGTGCACTGGAACACATAGAGGTTGTGGAATCTCTAACCTTGGAGATTTTTAAGACCCAACTAGACACAGTCTTGGCTGGGATGATAAAGTTCAAAAGGTCCTGCTTTGAGCAGGGGGTTGGACTAGATGACCTCCTGAGGTCCCTTACACCTAAATTTTCTATTATTCTATAATATTTATAATAAACTACTAGGAAGTTTATGCTGGCAACCACTATGTCCAGTACAAGTATTTAATAACTCATGCTAGACCCACGTGTTAACTACTTGTGTGGGACCCCAACAGTGCTATTAAATGCAAGTAGCATTAATATAAGAATAATCTTGTGTACAAGTAAAAAGTCAAAATTGAAAAAAAACATGGTTTATCACGAGTACAGCAGAACTCTTTTCCATTCATGATATTGCCCTTCTATATACTATTGTGTGTCAAGTTCAAGATCTCAGTCCTTACTCTTGTAGTGCTCACGACTCTGGGCTTAGAATATCTGTACAGAAGCCTAAATCTTCAGGTCTAGAACAGTGGAAGATAATTAGAAATGCAAAAAAAAGAAAGAAAGCCACATTGAAATGAAGAGTGTTGCCAAATGCAAAATGCACTCCTTCAAACTTCCTCTCCATGATGGAAACATACAGTTCAGCATATGTTTAAATTCATCCTTCAATTTTCCCCATGGGAGGGGGGAGCAGGGGTAGAAGAGAGAAACGAAGAAAGAGGAGCTAGACACCATCATATCACTTAAAATACTTTTGGAATTCACACAAACTATGGTGACAACTGCAGCAAAAGAACCAGAAAAGAACAGAATTGTGTGATGCCCATCACCAAATCCCCATAAATTTTGTACTGCAAGGTGTGCACTGGAATTATCATTATTTTTCATTCAGCTCAATTTAATATTTTTAAGAGCAACTAGGACATTATGGTAGATGCTGCACATTATAAGAACATGATAATGATGTTTGTCTAATGGTATATGCTAGGGTCCCATTGGGCTGTGTACTCAGTGCTGTATACAGATTAAAAAGACAGTACCCTCTGCAAAGAGTTTGCCATCTATATAGGAAGAGGAGGACGTAAAGTGATGCAGAGATGTACTCACAATCAGGAAAAGTAATCAAATGCAGTTTTTTGTCTATGCCAAATGAAAGGTTTAATCAAAATTCCATAAGGTGGTCAGAGAAATCCAGTTATATTGCATTTTATTTAGATTAGGAGGATGGAAACAATCTTCTACTTGCCTATTACCAGTAACTGCCATTTATTCATACTTCTATGAATTTATACATTTATTCATGCTTTTGAACTGTTGTGATGACCTGAAATAGTGAAGAGGGACTATAAATTATGTATGGTATTTCCTGAGTTACTGGGGACTTTCCTAGATGTCATATTTTTGCTAATGAATTACAATGTATAAAATACCAGGCTTTAAGTGCTATCTCGTCTGCATCGCCAGAACATTTCTGGTTCACAGTCAATACTTCTCAACATGGATTCCAATCCAAATTGGTTCCACAGAAATATAAACATGAAAATGAGGGGATGAGTGCAGTTAATAGAGTAAAATCAATCTACAACTCAGTAGCCACATCTACACATACGCTTAACTGCAGGGTAGATTAATTAGTTGTGGACTAAAGCATCACTGTCCACATATGACACTATTAGGCCACAGTAAGCTAACTGATGCTGCCATAAGATAGTACTGTCAAGAACAGTAGTTAACTGTGATTAAATGTACGTGTAGACGCTGCACTTGGGAGTAGTTTACTCCAGCTCTCACTCCTCTGGAGTTTATCGCTTCAAATTAATTGCATGCGTAGATGTAGCCAGTGATAGTATATCTCCTAAACCCACTTCCCTACCAAGAAAGTCAAATCATACTCAGAAACCAGAATCAGTGGAAGAAAATTAGATTAACTTAATTTCTCTGAGCCAGGAAGATATGGAATGACAAAGACATTTCATTATCTCTCCTGTAATTGCATGACAAGCAGAGGCATTGGCTTGTTTAAAAAATATAAATAAATAAAAAACAAAGCAGTCCTATTGACTCCTCTTGCTTGTTACTCACACATTTTGCCTCCTACTTCCAAATTCCAAACATTTAATGCAAGATAATCTCGGTCTAGAATTCTACGAGACTTAACTTAGTCCAGGAACTATAGATAAACCAGCTCCCTATGGATGTCCTTGTAACTTTAAGAACAACCATCCATGGACAAAAAGGCTATATCCAATAAATGTATGCTGATGCGTAAGATACACAGAAATGGAAAGCTGGGGACATCAGAGATGGTCCTGACTGCCATGACACTTCAGTTCTCAACCTTCTCATTTTGCTTAGCCCTTCAATATGTCCAGCAACTTCAGGAAGGTTCACAAAACTAAAGGTGCAAATAAGCAGAAGGTCCCCAGACTACCTGTGTTTGAACACTTACATAGAGCAGCATGCAGAAACCAACACCTAATGTAGATCTGGATCCATGAGCCACTGATGCTAGCACCTGACAACCCATCATACAGAGCATAATTCAGAAGCTCCCCTCCCCACCTTGTTTCATTCACATCTGTAGGAAGCAGCAATGCAGGACACATCCCAAATCAAATTCTACATAAATAAAGAAACTTTATCAGCATCAAGAGACAGCGCTGTCATAGAGAGGAAGCTCTTTTAACAGGACATTTAATAAGATAAATAGTGAAAAACAACAGAAGTAAAATAAGGAGCTTCTTTTTCCACTGCAATATGTTACCAAAGTTTTATATACAGTCTCAGCACTGTTGAAGGGTTTACTTAATGAACACATTTATTTAGCTTAAGCCTATAAATTCTCCCACTGTTTATAATCTTGAAGCTGCTATGATGGGTCACTGACCATTTGACTCTCATGCATAAGAATAAATGAACAAATCATAATGAATCATCAATCAGAATTCCTAACAGTACCTTCCATCTATAAAACGTAAAATGAATAAATATAATTGCCCCCGTTTTAACAAAGGGGAAGATGAGAAATAACGACATGAAATGACTTGCCCAACTTAACACAGCAGGTCAGTAGCAGAGCCAAGAGTAAAGCCTGGATCTTCTGATTCCTACTCTCATATACAATGCACAGTATCACAATGGGTGCATCTACATGAGACATTAATGGTGCTAATGCGCAGCAGAATTAGTTTACTGCACATTAGCATCACTTAAGAAGTGTGTGCCGGTGGTAATGTGCAGTAGCACCACATACAGTGCATTAATGAATGTGTAGATGGTTCCACTGTCTCCCCAGTGAGCCCTTTAAAATCTACAGGATTCAGTACGATCCAGCTCTGGGGCCACTTCCACAGAGCTAGGACTCCTACACTTCCCTCATTCTCACCTGCTCGCCCCCACACCTACCCCCACCCCCTCAAGCCATTACTCTGGCAATACTCTCAGTATAGCTGGTAGAAGTCTTGCCTAAATCAGGACAAAGCAATAACTCCAGGGTTTGACTCTACAATTGGCAACATCTGCCCAGGCAGGCACATGACTGGAAGTGTGATGAACAGACCTGATCACCCCCACTTGCCATGAGAAAATTCTCCAAATTGAAGAGTATGTCTGGGTGTGACTCCTGCCTGCTGGCTCTTTCAACATGCTCTCCCATCGTTTAGACCAGAACTGTCAAGTACACTTACCAGTTCATAGTTGATTGGTAGAAAGCAGGGGGTCACCACCTGGAATAAAGAGAATAAAGCCAAGAAATAAGACACTTAGAAGACCTGGCCTCATGAGGTTATCAATACAGAATTGAATACCCAAGAAGCTTAAGTATTCAAGACCAGATCCAAAACGAGGAATGTTACCAATTAATTTATTTTATACAAGACTTAACACAGCCAAAGGCAGATAAAATGATTTAGATTTCCCTTGTCTCCAAAGGAAGGAAATCTAAGTTTCAATTTGCCACACTATTCAGAACCAGAAGCTTGATACAGATTTATAGATATACAACCCCATCTATACTTAAAACATTTCTGATAAGAACTCCACAATCTATATACTTTCCATAAAACTTGTTTGATATTTCAAATGCCAAAATGTGTGGAAAAGCAGGAAAAACATCACAAGATCAGGTCAGATATATTGTTACTCCTGGGGAAACTAATTTCAGCCTCTCTGTATGGTTGCACAAGGCTGTTTCTTTTATTTTTGTCATACAGCTTTCATCTGAGTAAGGCACAGTGATTCTGCCTGTCATTTGATTTTCTGATTTCAACCTACAGCTTGGGTAAATAGAGGATGGAACTGATGGCATCTGATAAGGCACTTTAGGCTTCTTTAGAGCTGGGTTTCATCTGTCACTGGCCACAATAAGAAACAAGACACTAAACTGAACAGTGCACATGTTAAGATCCAGGATGATAACGTCCTACATATCAGTTTCACAGCCTCTCCTAATGTTGTCAGATGCTGAACGAAACTGGAGAGTCAAGAGAGCCAAACAGGTGAGCTCTAAACATAGAAGAGTTTACATTGTTTCCTGAAAGACTAGTTCACACAGATTGTGCTGCATTAATACTGGGTCTGTAACTTTGTAATACTGCTCTCAACTCCCATGGGAAAAAGATTTAGCCATGGGTTGATGCCCTATCCATTTTTACAGAAAGTAGGCAAGTAATTCGGCTCCATTACAAGGCAGATTTTGGCTCAGCACAGCACTCGTTGCTTTGTTACCATCCCTGCTTGCACCATTAGGTATTCAAGACTAATGGTGTTAACATGTTACCAAAAAATCAGTCATTATTTGTATAGTGCTAGGCTCCACATTCAATACATGACCATAACAAGATAGTTTAGGGGGGAAGGGACAACAGAATAGTGAGAAGCAAAAATGTTTTACAACTGTGCAACAAAACTCCCTCTCTAAAAATTTAAGCCATTAGCTTATTTTGCAGAGCATGAAAGTACACAGCCATCCCACACTGTTTCAGCTCGCCTGCCAGAAAGCATTGTGGCAAGCTAAGGGATACTACCAGTGCTGCACAGAAAGAAAGAACACTGCTTCCAGTGATAACTTATATCATCATCTTCACCGATAACTAGAGAGGCACTGATACATCGGTCCGATATTGGATCGGCACAGATATAAAGAAAATTGACTGTATTGGATTTCAGCCTGATGTGGCCAATAATTTGGCCAATAAATGTCTGTGCATGTGCACAGCCACAACGCAGCATGTAGGCAGCAAGGAACGCAGCCCGGAAGCTTAGAGAGCTGTGTGCAGCTGGTAAGCCTGGTGTGGTAGAAGGGAGTGGGGCAACAGCAGTGCTGGGAGGGGGGGCTACAGCAAAATTTTGGGGGAGGGGGCTGCACCCCCCCATAATCCCCCTCCCAGCACTGCTGCTGCCCACCCTGGACAAAACACAGCCCAGCTCCCACCAGGAAGAGCCCAGAACAGACCCAGTCCCAGCCCGCAGCCCACCCAGCCGGGCCCCACACAGATCCGGGGGCACACGTTCTCCCCCCTGCCATGTCCTCCTGTGGTACACACAGCTGTGGGAGCTGCCCCCCACCCTGCACCCCCTGGACAAGCCGCGACTCTGTCCTGCACCCTGCCTGCCCCAGCTGGGCAGCGCCTGCCCCAGCCCCACTCCCTCGCTCACTTCAGGATCCTTGAACTGCCCCCCACCCCCACCCCTTCCCTCCCCACTCCCCTTCCACCACAATAGACTTGCCAGCTGCATGCAGCTGTATCAGAAATCGGATCAGTATCAGCAGATATGTCTCCTTAAAAATCAGCTATTGGTATCGGGCCCCAAAATCTCTACTGGTGCACCCCTACCGATAACTTGTTCCAGCCTCATTTTGAGATTACATAGGAAACAGAGATGCATATCAACAGATGAAGGTGACACCGGTAGAAGAAAAGATGATAAAGAACAGACACCAAATGTTTCAGCACATATCCATAAAGCTTGGATGCAAAATGTGGGAAACAGAGTTCAGGTATTGTACAGTAAATTGCACCCCGTGTGGCAGGGGGGCCATGCAGTATGACGCAGTGCAGCCCATGCAGCATGCAGTCCCCAGAGACTCAGAAGTTGGACAGCCCTGCCCTAGACCATGGCTGTTCAACTTCTGAGCAGCCAGGGGGTGCACACTGCCCCCAGACTAGGGAAGGATGTGGGTAGGATACAGAAGTTGGAGGAGGGAGGGGGAGTTCAGTGCCACTAGAAGTAGCAAAGGAGAGCTGTACCCACACTGAGAGCCTCTGGGACCCTCCAGGTGGACACCCCTGTGTTAACCAATAAAGAGGGAGGGCAGAAATTAACCTGGCCCAACAAGCAAGCTCTTTGCCTGGGAAGGCAGGTGCAATAGCTAACAAGTGGTGAGCAGAGCAGGTATGAGAGTGGTAAAGATACTGGAGAACCATGCAGAGCAGGAGGCCAACCAAGAAAACAAGGGCTGCAGGGCCACCTACAGAACAGGCTGTGTTATGGCAGATATAACATCTGGAAGCAGGCCTGTGCAGATGTTGAGGGAAGCAGAAGCAGAGAGAGGAGCTTGCAGAGAACTTTTAGGGGAAGAGCGCCAGCTGCTAGGTCAGGCTCTTAGAAGAGTAGGAGCCCAAAGAAGCTATTGCAGACCATGTTCCCTAGCACTGGAGACTCACCTAAGGAGTGCCCTCTAACTGGGTGCTGGGCCTGAGAAAAGGTCGTCATCCTCATAAAGAACAATGATATAGAACAGGACTTGAGGGGTTAACATGGAACCCCTGGACTCTCTCCCAGTTGCTACTCCCCACAGCCAGGATCTCCAGGCTCCACTCCCCTCCCTCCTCTGGCTTCTGCTTCTGCTTCCTGCCCCTGCTCCTGCATGAGCAGGAAGGGAAAGCAGGTTGCCTGTATGGCAGGGAGTAATGTATGGGGAGGGGGGCAGGGCATTACCCATGCAGCGTGCATCCCAGGGGTCTGCATCCCACACAGCATGTGTCCCTGATCACCACCCAGATGCTGGACAGCCCTGATATATAGCCAGGCACTGGAGGGGCCTTGAATGTCTGGATGTGAATGTAACTGGAGCCTCCTCCTGCCAAGAGTGATACAGAAAGGGTCTCTGGAGCTCCCAGGGGAGGGAGGAGGGGAGTCTACCTAGGACTCCTGGCTGGGACACACCATAGCTCACCCTGCTTAGGTAACCTGTGTGTTAGCTCTTTGCCTTTAACAGAGGCCTGAAGAGCCTTAACACCCACCTGATCTGGGCCCAGGAGAGCCCAGTAAGAACAGGCTATGATGTACCTTGAAGTATGATATAAGCATCCAGGCTAAGAGTACCTGAAACCTCTCTCTCTTCTGCCAATGCTAGTAAAATAGGCCAGTGATATAAAAGTTTGTCTCCAAGTTTACTGGGACTCATCAGGGCTAGTGTGTTTAATGCCTATCCCAAGCAATAGTCCCAGTGGCAGGAGGTCTGACATGCCACAAAACTAAGCAGACATCCTGGTTACACACGTTTAAAAAAAAAATGAGGCACAGTCAACATAATACTGTAAGCAGCAAGAGCAAAGAGGAACATCAAGTCCTGTGCACACGGGATGGCAATGACGGGCAGAAAGCAGCAAAACTGACCATATCCAAATGCCAATTCAGGCCTCAATTCTCGTAAACTTTCACCAAGGCATACTGTGAAGAGATAGTGTGTGCCTGATAACTGGGTCCTTTCCTGCAAAAGGTCTACATCAGCACTTTGCAGACTTTACAAACAACAAACCCATGTCAAAAGAGAAAATTACCCCTCCCTTTCTAGCTACAAGAAACAAAAATAGTTACAACCCTCTCATGCAACTCCCCCAGGCTGAGAAACTGCAGCCTGAGCACATTTTTGCTGCTGATTTCATCATCATCACCCCTTGCGGACTCAATTTTCTCTGTTCAACTGAGCATGCCTATAGAATAGGTGGAACACGTTAAGAAGACTGTCATGATTATGATTCCAATGGTTGAGTGTGAAGACAGAGTCCATCTCCCTGACCTCCTGCCTGACACAGGTGTGTATAACATTATGTAATATCTTTAGAAAGATCACCCAACACTCCACAGAAGTCAAAGGGCTTAAGATCACTGCTCTTAAGAGCCACAGCTGTGCCTGAGTAAAGTGACAAGGCGCATTAAAGCTCCTGCAGATGCTTGCAACTGTCCCACTGCCTGCCAACTGTGATGGAGAAATTGCACTCCCTGATAGTTCTCTCTACACATCTAGAAATGGGCTGTGCCTTGGCTCAGCCATCAGCCACAAAGTGACACACGAGCTGGAAGAGGTAAACAGGTAACAATGTTTACAAAGAGAATAAATTATTCCTCCAAAGGCTACCTGTGCATTATTGGGAAAGGGTAGGGGCAGGGAGAGTATAGAGAAATGAGGGGGCATCAGGGAACAGGGGAAGACACGCTTCAGTTGATGCAGTTGACAAAGGAAGGGAAGGAGGATGAGTCACGGTCTTGGTAGAGGTAGATGGAAGGCACAGAGAGGATACTAGCAAGACAGACATTGCGACAGGAGGCAGGACAAGGCGGAGTTAAAAGTATGGCTGCCCCAGGTCACTTCTCATCCCAATTACAGCTCCGTCAAACTGTACCAACTTATCCCTTTACTTTTTAGTGCAGTTAACAACTAGCCCAGTGCAAGCAGCTGGAGTGCTTGCAGCTAATTTCCAGTGCCTACTCCCAGCTCCTA